AATTCTGCTTGGTTTATTTTCCCCCGGTCTGTTCTGGCATGCTTCTAATGATATCAGAATCACCTGGACCAGTGATTGCCAGTGTGCATACTCTGATATTTTTTCAAGCTGTGGCAGGTTTTATTAATGAGAAATTCTGCTTGGTTTATTTTACCCCGGTCTGTTCTGGCATGCTTCTAATGATATAAGAATCACCTGGACCAGTGATTGCCAGTGTGCATACTCTGTATTTTCCACATGCTGTGCCCAGTTCGATGTTATTGCCGCTGTAGTGGTGGACACCAGTTTTGACCAACATGGCATAGTACTCTTTTTCAGATTTCCTCAAGGCTGGGCAGTTGTTGGCAAGGATGACCAATTTCACTGCCCTGTCTGATCATCTTCAGCATCTGCTTGTACCCCAGCACATACTTTCCATTTTTCATAACAAGTTGGATCTTAGGGTTGATGGACTCTAGAGATTTTTTCATCTTCTTTGCAGCCACCATCTTGCTGCCTTAAGTGCGGACGGCCCTCAATCAAGAGCAGCCGCCAAGATGGCCAGGACAATCTGTGAATATATTAAAAGCTACTGAACATTACACTTTAGGAAGAAGAATTTTGTACTATGTAAATGTACGGCAGTGAAAAGGCCAAGGAGGGTGGGGTGCAGCTCAGGGGAGGACGTGCTCAGCGTGTGGGAGACCCGAGGTTCATCCCCAGAGTGTAGGACTGGATGGATGCATGGGTGGATGGATGGATGAAGTAAAAAAGGCGGACATGTGAAAGTTTCCATTTCCTGAACAGGGCATGTTTGCCCCACTCATGTTGCTCTTCTTCTTTACTGGTCTGTTTGTTTGTCGTCAGCTGTACTGGGGACAGAAAAGAACAGAAACAGTTGCTAGGTTCCATGGCCACGGACACCCTGGTGTCCTGGCCTGGCCTCTGGGCCTGTGACTTGCACATCAGAGGCCCAGGTGGACGTGACCTCTCTCTGTCTCCTCTGCAGCACTGTGATTGTGTTTTATGTCCAGAGCGGGCCACCGTTCAAGGTGCTCAAGGCTGCCCAGGTGGCCCAGAAGCTGCACAAGCGCCTCTCCAAGGAGAAGGCCAACTACCTGCTCTTCAAGGTCCTGAGGATTGA